GCAGTAGATAGAAAGCTTCCACACTGGTAGAGAATATTTATGCTTCTAGAAACAGAATATGAAAGCTCAGTAATTTGTATTTTAAAGTATTTAGATACTTCTTGGCTCTATTTTTGGAAGTAAGGAACTTAGACCAATGTTGTTGCTTTTTTTATTTACACTGTGCCTCCGATGCATATCGAACACTGATGGTCATTAGATTCTTAATTGGTAATCTGTGTTTATCCAGCTTCAGTCGTGCTGCCAGGTGTCCGTAGTTTCCCAGTGGCATGAAGTATAAGCTGTAGCAGTAAAAACAAATAATAAAAAAAAATGTTCAGCTCTTGGGGCAGGAGAAGTGGTCAATACAGTGGGAGGAAAATGGAATGGGAGGGAGGGAGTGAAAACATTGAGGCTTCCATTCACAGTTAAACCAAAAACTATTTACAGAAATGGTTGATTGCCAGACCGGGTTATTGAGACATGAGACAGGCCTATTTCTGGTATGAAATTTGCATTTCTTAATTTAAGTCTGGGGCATAGTTAATTAACTGCACACTTAAAGTGACTGTGATAAATACAAAGTCGCTATTGTGTCTGACCTTAAAATCTGTTTTCTTTCAAATCAGATTTTAGAAATAATCAGGGTTATTCTGAAACTGTATGAGCAGTGGAAGAACTTTGATGAGAGGAAAGAGATGGCTTCTATTCTTAGTAAAATGCCTAAACCAAAACCACCTCCAAACAGGTACTGTACTTCCATGTACTGCACTTAATGTATCTTTCATACAGAAATCTGAACTACTATCTTAAGCATGCTCAAATGTTTAATTTGAGGTATAGTGTATGCTTTTACAATGCAGCCCTTTCTGTTACAAGTACACAGTCAGTTCAAGAGCTAGAATATAACAGCAGAACATTTGTTGTTTTACGGAAAGCAGTAACGTAATTACAGTGTGATCAATACAGCTTAGCAGATGAAGGAAACAACATTGTGAGGCCCAGTGGAGGGGCCTGATTCTTTGGAATAGTGCCTGTTTGCTGCCAGAGTTAATTACTGTGATTAAATATCGCTATTAGGAATCTGCATGTGCAAATTCCTATGCATGAGCTTACGTAATGTGACCTGTAAAATGTTGATTTTGGAGGTAAATTCAGTGTATTTGAATAGTAATTTCAATATGTACTGATACACCTAGCTGCTGAAGTTATTTATGCATGCTTAGAATAATATTTGCATTTTTAGTGAGGCTGCATAGAATATCTTACTCTATTTGCATATGTCTATATTTTCCTTCAAAAGGCCTTCAGAATACTGTAATTTTTCATTTGAAAAAGGCAAAAATGCAATATGATACTTTTTTGAAGACTTTTTTTTCCCCTTTTTTGTCTTCCTAACAGTGAAGGTGAACAGGGTCCAAATGGTAGCCAGAACTCTAGTTACAGTCAATCTTAAGACATTCCAAAGAATTTCTTCATGGACCACTTCGACTCAAGACATCCTGGGATCTTTCCTGTGTTCATGAAATGGACAGAAGGTTTTAGTAACATCTTTACAAAGAACTTGAAGAGTAACTAGCTTGTTTGTGTCAAGCATTTTGAAAGCTTTTTCTTTAAAACTGTATCATTTTCTCTGACGCTGGAGTAAACATACTAAGATTTCTCAGTGTAAGGAATCGAATTTTAAACCAAGCTGCAAAAAGATTAACACTATCCACTCAAAACAAATAGTTCATTACTGGTTTTGTTTGCTTTGAGAAAATTGTAGCTTGCCTTTAAAGTGAACTTTTTTTTTAAGGAGGCAGTAACCTTGAAACCTAAGTGTAACTATATTAATGACCTGTGTTGTCTTCATTTTGTTGGTGACTGAAGGAAGATAGTGCACTGTATGTTAAACCTATCCATTACCTAGAGGGTTTTTTTTATTTTTTAAATGAATCTGGATTCTGTAACAAGTGAAACAGCAGTCCTTCAGAAACAAAGCCTGGAAGAGTCTGCAGAGAATGTTGTTAGAATTCTAATGAAAACTGCAGGAAAGAAATTCAGTTCCTTTTGGGGGTTAGAAAAATACTTGTTTTATTCAGTAGATGTGTCTGGATGTTTTTGCCTTGAAACCTAGTAGCCCAGCTTACCAGAAAAGTGCAATATGTATAGTGATTCTGCAGTTTTCTTAAACATTTCAAGTGTTAGGAATTAAAAAACAAAAACCACCAACACTTTTTTTTTTTGCAAGTAAACGTACTGTATAGTACAATTGGAATATTTTACAAACAAATACAAATCTGGGTATGATTGCTATTTTTTATTGTGGATTTTTTTTGTACAAAAGATATACACTGTTAGTCTGCCTTCACTGTTAGTGTGAATTTACGTGGCTCATTATAGAGGTTATTTAAGAGGATCAAGCTTTTGGTGAACTTCATACTGGCTAATTTTAATTGTGATTTTAGGAGCAACTCTTTAGGATAACTGAAACGGGATTCCTTGGTTAACTGTGTGCTGGAGAAAATGTAATCCTTTCAAACCGAAGGCCATATCCTGTGTTCCTTACTCAGGCAGATATCCCACTGAAGTCAGGAATTGGCCTACATCAAATGTCATGATTTTTAGGTAACTTTGTTTCTAAATAATTTCTGTACAACTTCATTTTGAATGAGAATGCCGACTTGCCCAAGTATAAAGATTGAACAATAAAATAAAGTGAAGTACCATTGTTGTCCAGCTTCTCTTTTCCTGAAGCAACACGTTTCACTAGTTTAAAATATTGGAGTTCTTGAAAACCCTAGCTCTGTGATGTGTCTTGGTTCAAAAAACAGATCCCTTAAAACAAAACAAAACAAAAACGGAACAACATACAGGTTTTGTAGATAAACAACATCCTGGTTCTGCAGATAATGTCCCTCTGTAATTGGCTGGTCATTCACTGATAAATAACTGAAGTGTATTTGTATGTTTACTGTGATGTTGAAGGAAAGCTGTAAAAAGATGATGCTGACATGAACAAATTTAATTTCCCCCCATTTAGACATACCTGTCACACAGAAATGTGACTGGCTTAAATTTTTAAACCCAGTCAGTGACAGCTTCATAGGGTAACTAGTTAAAGAACACGCAAATTTCCCTAGGCAAAAAGCATCTGCGCTTGGGCTTGAGTTTGTAAGACAGAACCACTCTTTAAAAGATCCAAATCCACCGACACGTGCGAAGCCCAAAGGAAGTATCAAGCACCCTCACTTTAAATGAGAATAACCTGGGTATGGTATCACTACATGATTGTCCTGTTTTATGCTTTTCCTCAGATGCTTGTTACTGGTTGCTGCAAAACAGGAAACGATGAATGAGATGTCATGGTGTGCCCCAATGTAACTGTTGTTAATGTTTTGTTGACAGTGTACTTGCAGATGTTTCCAACAAACCCAGCTGTAGTAACAAAACATGATTAAGTTTAGTTGAATAGCTCTCCCTGCTTTGTTCATCTGTATGCTGAAGTCTGGTGGTAAGGTCAATATAGGTAGGCACGATTAATTACACACTTTGCTTAATGTTTTTAGTCTATCTCAAATTTTCCATAAAACCTGGCCCGAATGATTTAGATCAAAAGGCAGCACTAGTCCTAGTGAGGCCTGGCAAGACTCAGCCAACAGTGGGCTGCAGTTGCATCTTTGATTATGTGCCCACAGCACTGTGCAATTGATAGTCTAGGTCATGTTGAACAGGCAAAATTAAAAGATTGTAGGATTTGGCCAAAGCCAACAAATGTGGTGGCATCTGTTACTCCTCCCAATCCTATCTGAAAAAGATGTTTCAGAGTAAGGTACCAGGAATTGCAGGGTAATTGACCTACAACAAAGTAACGCCCGCACAACCTGACATTTTAGTTTCGTCTTACTTTCATTATTTATCACTTAAACTAAACCAATATTTTGGAAATTATACTTAATTCTGTTTTTTTACATAAGTGGTTTGTTTGTTTGTTTTAATGGATTGGAAATAAGATAGTGACTTTTTAGCAGTCTTACTGCACTGATACTTCAAAGAAAGGTGTGTTACTCTCTACTACGACAGCTTTGCTACTGGGTTTCTAATTATTAGAAGACAAGAAAAGAACCCTCTCCCGTAAGACAGGGTAGCACAGTTAATGGTTGGCTGTACCATGTACAGGTACTCTCCTCTAGAAACAAATTGCATAATTTATTGGAAATAAAATTCTAACAATTAGTTACTTTTTCTTGTGTTACCTAAGCTTGGTGGGGTGTATTTTTTGATGTCCCTTGCTGTCCATGCAGACTGGCCTGTCAGAATAAAAAAACTCTATGATAAATTGCTGCAATACCCATGAGAGCAGAATCAGAAATTTTAATTCCCTTTTCAAGACATCCTGCCTAGTCCTGGATTTTTGTGTTACAAGCTAAGCTTTCTAGAGGGCAGAGCAATTTAGCTTTGACAACTCTTTCGACCTGCTAACAGCATTTAAAAAAAAATTCATTAGAATTATGACTATGCAAATTTATAGGCGTGGATGGGGTGGGTTTGTTTTTCTTTTCACGTTTAAGACAGAGAAATTAACATACACAGAAGGAAGGGAATTAAGTAACTTCTCTGACACCTCAGATGTTCCAGCCTATCCTCATAATAATAACTTCAAATATAGGCAAGTTCTCACTTGATGTGAGCTACTGAGGGAACTGAGCAAGTTGACTGCCGTTGCATGTTGTATGCAGAAGCAGACTGGCGTATATAAATGGATATTCTCTTCAAATAGAAGAGAACATCTTGAACAGCAAGTATTCTAACATCAGGGCACTTTCTCTTTGTATTTTGTGACCGGTATTGGAGTTTTGCCCTTGCAATCACGTAGTACAAACCTAAAACTTTTCTTCTCCATTTATAGTCTTGATAACAGCAAATATTTTAACATTATAGCTATACATGAAGAATAATAAATCTGTGCTTAGGACAGTTACCCCAATTCCATTAGAACAGTTAAACTACAGTTATTCTAAACAAACTATCCAACACAGTTATTTGGAAAGGATAACTTTATGTGTATTATCATCATTTGTTTAAACAGTCATAAAGCAGATCATACAAAATTCTTTTCACATACTTCTAGCATCATCATAGCACAAATTAAAGGTCAAACAAATTTAACATCTATTCATGTCATAGTCCTTAAGTATAATTTTAACCAAGTCATTAATGTGCATTACTATTTAAAGGTAAATGCCCATTTACACAGGAAAACAGAAGAGGACTGTATTCTGAAAGTGGAATGCAGGCAGTGCTAAAATCTACAAAGCATTCTGAAGGTAGAGCAGGGATGGAGGTAGTCATCTTCACTTTTTCTCTGGATGTTCACGTTTTGCCCATTCCTCAAAGCCACCAGGAAAGTGCTGAACTCTGAAAGTTTGCAGAAGAGAGAATGTTAATGAAGACTCTTCTTCATAAAGGTATGTAAAAGGACACGAAAAAGAAAAAATAGAGAAAAAAGCATATAGAAATTCTCTGAAATCAAATACACTACATTGTGCAACCAGCCAGAGAGAGTACAAGGAATGTCAAACACTGTCTGCATCCAAGTGGTGTATTCTGTAATCCATTTCTTCCAAATGACACAATGCTGGAGATCAAATACCACGCAAGTAGAAACAGATAGAAACAGTTTGCTGCCTTTTTTTCCAAGGAAAAAAAAAAAAAAGAAACAACTCAGTGTAGTGAGAGATTTGCATGACATTATACCCAGTACTTCAGATGTTATGAAGGTCTTTAATTCCTTGCACACTTACAAGCTACATATGCCTGACATATGCCTGTGAAAAACTGGCCTCAAAAAAACAAAAACCCACCATGAAAAACAATACTGACTCCTTCAATATGAAAAATGGGTGATAAAGTATATTTTGCACTTATTTAAAACAATGTGTTTATAAAACAAGGGCACAGTCCCCTACTTTTGACTAGAATTGGCAGGAATATTCCAATTCTTGATTTGCAGTTTAGTAAAAACCTATTTCTGAAATTCTACCCACAGTCTTCAATTCAGCAAAGCACCTTCTGTCATGGGCATAACAATTCTACCAACCCAATGTTGCTCTCTCTTGCTTTCGTGCTATCAATCTTGCTGTCTTTTTAGCTAGTTCCTTCAATATTTTATACCTAGCAAACAATGCACTGCTTTACTGAAAGCAAAGGCTTATTTTATCATTGGTGAACTGTACAGGTGAAACTGCAAGTTCTACACACAGTGTGGTTTCATAAACTATTTAATATAATTTAAGATTGTACTTCTACAAATATGAGCCTCTTCTACCTTTCCAATCATCATCCTGCACGTCAGAACTAGCGTTTATGAAGCTGTACAAGCAACATCTCGGCAAGGGAGACATAAGAGGTTGAAGAACCCTTCAGCATCAGCGTGGTCTTGCAGCATATGGCATCACCTGCAGCATATAAGCAGAGTTGCTGTGTGGTCGCTTTACAGGACATCTCACTTTCCCATAACACCAGACGGCATCTTTCAAGGTTCAGTGGAGACATAAGGAGGTACTGTTTATAAGTTGTCTAACTCTAATATTAATCTCTTTGTTCATATTCCACATTAAAGTTTTTATCCATACCCGTAAGAAGCTAAGAGAGAGTTCTAGTTTACATACTGGGGGAACTTGTATTAATTCCACCCTTACACATGGAAGCCACACACTTACCTGCTGAAACCCAAGGACGTGGCAAAATTCAGTGCTTGTTTACTTCTTGATCCTGCAAAGCAGGAGAAAACCACATGGTCTGACTTGGCAGGCATCTTCTGATTGTACAGCTCCCTGAAGTCGGTTGGGTCCATTTGCAGAGCTTCCACTAATTCCTTCACTGTGAAATAAATAAATAAATACTCGCATGCAAGCTTACATTTTAAGGTTTCAAATTCCTTTGGGAAGAAATAAAAGGAAGTTTAGTCTCCCAGGGTATTGGATGCCGTTTAGCACAGCTCCTCCTTGCAAGGCACCACCCCTTGTCCACACACCGGACCACCACCACCCGAGCAACAAGAGCAAACATTGCTGGGTAGCATCACGAACAGCTTACGCGGTATGTTGATGGAGGCCGGGATCTTCCCGTCTCTGTCAACCTCCCACCTCTCCCGCACATCTATGTGGACGACGCTGGATTTTTTCAGCTCTTTCAGCTCCTCGTAGGTACACGCCGCGCTCCGCCTCGGCGCAGAGGCGGCGGGAGCTGCCACCGACCGCCCTGGGCTCTGCAAGAGAGGCGCAGCCCTGTGAGCCCCGCGCTCCCTTCCTCCCCTAGGGAAGGCCACCGCCGGGAACAAAGCTCCCCCGGGGTCTCCCCGGGATCCCCCCGCCTCACCGGGCACCGCCGGCCGCCCCCAGTGGCTGCCGCTGGCCGCCCGCAGGGCCCGCAGGGCCCGGTGCCCGCACCAGCCGCCCGCCGCCATCCGCCCGCCCCCCGCACGCAAAATGGCGGCGGCGCAGCCCTGCCCCGCCTCGGGGCGCCCTGCCCGGGGGAAGCCCCGCCGTGCCCGGCCCAGCCCTGTCAGAGCCGGCCTGGGACCTCGTCCCCAGCTCCAAGGGCTCCTGGTGGGTTGCAGCCGTCGTTCCGGAGAGGAGAAATGGGGCCTTTCGATGTGCTTTACATTCCCTCGACGTGCTTTCAGCCTCTAGTACAGCGTGCTTGCTACGTACTGGTGATGCCAGGTCTAAAAGCCACCATGCTGATCCTCTCCTGCCATAACCACATTTTGAGGACTCCATCGTCGAATCTTCACTAATGAGAGTTTTCTTTCTCAAAAGGAGAACAAAAATACTTCCCGGTGCCGGAAAGTGTGACAAATCAGAGCTGGCACATATAGCTGGTTCACTAGCTGCCCTTCTGCCAGCCTCTCCATATGGCCTCTGTGACAGACATTTGCGAACTGTCTCTTTGAAGCAGTATATCTATATATGAGTCGAAGTTTTGTGTGTTTTCCATTTGTAACAAGATACGGGTAGACTGAATACCTCCTCTTCTGAGTTATCTTTTACTACATACTTTACCTGTTATAAGATAACAACCAAAACTTCTGTCCATTTACTAAATGTACTGCTGTGAGGAATTTAAACATGAGCTGTGGTGTGTCACAATGCTTTTCACATGAAATGTATATTCATATGGGGTCCTATTTTTATAAATTAATTTATGGCTTTAATTTGACCCTGCTTCACACACACATACACACAGTGAACACACTAGCTTGTTAGCAAAAATAGGAACAATTCATAAGGCGTCTTTTGCAAGGTTTGGTTAATTCAGCAGGCAATGACTGAATAAACAGGAGAGAGAATGATGAGCAGCAATATTCCAGTGAACAATCCTTGCTACGGTATCACATAAATCACTGTTGCTAATAACTCTTGCCCATCTTTTCTCCTGAAGCAGCACATTCTATTTTTCTTTCAACTATGGGCTATTGCCATTTAGCCTCTTTTCAGCCTCTTCTCAGCAGCTTTCCTCATTTCACCTTTTGGGTCTATCTTAATTTCTGCAGACTCCCACACTCATACCTGGTGGCTTCATTTGCCAGCTGACTGTTCAGTCACATTTACCCTTGCATGTTCTGTATCATCATCTTCTCATATGACTTGAAGTCACCATCATAGGCAAGGTTCACAGACCTAGGCTTTCACCAAGTGTCACTTCCTTTCTGATTTTTCTGTTACTGTACTTCTGACTATCATATTTTTACATTTTTTTTTCCCAACCAAACTGTCACCCTTCCCATACACTGGTACTTCTCTTTCCCACAGCATCCTTCATGATGCTTTACATATCCCAGTTTTCCCAACATGTTGGAAGTCTGTACATACATACTTCTGTCCTCACCCTGCACAGGATTCAGTCCACTTCTTTGGGGAAACTTCCTCATCTTTTCCACGTCCTTTGCTTGCCTTCCGTCTCTGTCAGTGTCCTGATATTCTTCTGTCTGCTCCATATATTCTCTCTTGCACTCAGTAAATATATTCCCCTTTACATTACACACTGTTGCTCTATGTTCAGCTTCCCTTCCTTCTTTCTTTAATCTTTTACTTTTTTTATTGCTCTTGCAGTGCAAGAAATCTTTAACCCGTCCCATGAAGACGAGGAAGAACCTCCTTCTTGATCCAGTTTGTTTCCTTGTTATTGCTCCATATTCTTCTCCCTTTTCACATTCAATGAACTTGGTGTTCACAATTAAGGCCTGGTGCTCATCTGTTACATGGCCTGCAGTCTGCCTCCTGATCCTTGTGCTCAGTTGTCACTGCTGTCATCAAAGTGCCTAAAGAATTCCTCCTACCTAAATCAAACCCTGCTTGGTCTGTCAACCTCTTTCAACAATACTGTTCTTGATAACTTGTCTTTGCTCAGGCCTATGGCTTCCATGTGGTTCCCTGAGCATTCCTAAAACCTGTTTGTTGGTAGATCCACCACAGGCTCTCCACCCTTGTTTTCTGTGAAGTCCCACAGTAATACTCCTCTTCCCCCCTTTTTTTTCTTCTCCATGCCATGCTCTAGGTGGCCCTGTGAGAAACTAAGTTGTGTTTCTGCAGTAAAGAACTAATTCTCTGACAGCTGGGTAGTCATAACAAGGAGAAATGCTAAGTAGTTAAGTGGACAGTAGCAGAAGGCCTCACTGATTGAAAATAAGGTAGGAGCTTGAGAAAAACAGGATGAGCAGTGCGGGAACAGTACAACAAAGATCAAAAGTTCTCAAAACATAAGAAAAGAAAAAAAAAGGGGGGGAGAAATAAGAAACTAAACTGTTGAAGGAAAAAAAATTGTACATATATGGTATAGAGGAGCGCAGAGCGCAGAGTAGCTTGTGAACCTGTAGTACTCAGCCAATGAGGAAATGGGAGGTGATCAGGTGTCGGGTAATAGGGAATAAAAGGTTATGATTTGTTTTACTAAAATGTGCTCCTAGTTGGCACGATGCCTGCCATTGCAATTGCCAATAAAATAGCTTCACGGAAGATCCCGTCTGAAGAAAATTATTAGAGATTTTTCTCACAGCCCTGCTTGGGCTGGGGGGTTGGACTAGATGTCCTCGGGAAGTCCCTTCCAGCCCAAGCACTCTGTGATAAGGGCATTCTGATACAATCAAACTTCAGACTCGCCTCCTGTCCAAACAAAGGTGCCCCCCGTGATGCCCGGACACATTTTGGGGTTTAGCCTTTAGACCTTCAGCCTTGCACACCCACGGCTCGGCCTGGGACGTGCCAGGGGCACACCGCCCGGGCACGACCCTCGGTGCCCGCGTAACGCCCCCATCCCCGGCCACCAGAGTAGCCCCTTCTTCCCCACATCCCCCAAGCTGCCTGCCCCGGGCCCCCTCCCTTCCCTGCCTCCCCCCCCGCCGCCCCGGCCCGGCCCCCTGGTCCCGGGCGAGGCCGGGGGCGGGCCGCGCCGGGCGGAGCGGCGGGGAGCGGCGCGGCGGGGCCCTGGCTGCGGCCCAGCTTCCTCCGCCGCTCGCTGCCGCCGCTCCCTGCCTGCGCGCCCCGCCGCCGCTCCGTGAGTGCGGGCCGAGCGCGGGGGGGAGGCCGGGGCCGGGGTTGGGGCCGGGACCGGGGCCGGGGTTGGGATTGGGACTGGGGTTGGGGCCGGCTGCGCTGCGGAGCTCGGGGCTCGGAGCCCGGCAGCGCCCGGCCGGGCCGAGCCCCGCGACATGGCGGCGGCAGCAGCAGGCCGGGGCCGGCCGGGGGGCTCGGGGGGAGCCCGGGGCTCGCTGCCAGCCCCGGGGGCCGAGCGGGCGGTGCAGTGCCCGCCGGGGGAGGCTCCGCGGAGCGCCCCGCTGAGGGCTCGGGACGGGCCCGGCGGCCCCGCAGCCGGCACGGCGGGGCCCGGCAGCGCGGCAGGTGCCAGCCCGGGGCCGCCTGCGACCTCCGAGCCTCCTGCGGCGTGAGGCGGCGGCCGGAGAGCGGGGACGGGTCCCTGGTACTCGGGTTTGGCTTCCCAGGGAGGGAAAGAGAGCGTGGGGCTGAGATCTGGTGTTATGGACCCGCAGCGCTGTGCTTCGGTTCGCCATGCGTGGGTTTGTGTAGGGCTCCAGCTCCTGCTGTCTGAGTGCTTCTAGGGTTTCAGCCGGCTCGTGCTGTGGATCCGCTGCTACTCACGCAGTTAAACAAGATACATGCGGGGCTGCCTGTTAAAGGCGGAAGCAGGAGAATAAAGATGTCAGGAAAGCAGAAGCAGGTGGCGGTAACTTCAGGCGTCTTGCTGCATGATGTCTGTGGCTACAGGTGTCTCCGAATTCCTTCAAACAACTCTTTTATACGGGAATACTCATGTTTTAAAGGCTTCCTTCCCATCTCATTTTCACGTTTTATATAGAGGTACAGTAGCGGCTCACACATGTGCCAGGTTGGCAGCAGTTTTACAAGGCGTATCCTACTCTGCAGCTTACTACGGTTGTAAATATTTTGTCAGATTTCTTCATGAAATATTGAAGAAGTGGTATTCTGTAGTTTTGTTTCCGCCAAACCGACAGAAATACAGCTGGCGTCTCCCAGGTTCTGCTGTGAACATCAGTCGTAGATCAAGGACAAGTTGTTCTACTTTAGACATGTCATCAAAACAAACTGGGGCAATTTGTGCCTGGGAAGATGATAGAATGAAATTCTTTGCTCTCGGCGGCAAGACTTTGAGTTTCAAAAAGCCCAGGCTAGTTTTGTCATAGTCCTTTGGTTTTATCGATTTTACCACCATTAATTAGTTAACTCCTGCAGCTTCCAAAGTAGATGGAAGGCTTTGCAGAGTCTTCGTCTACCTGGGATCTGCTCTGATTCAGACCTTTAGGTGTGGGACTACATGGGTCTCTGGCACTGAGACTCTCAGCTTAAGTATTATCTTGGGTGGGCTTCAGTCTGCTATCTCAAGCAGTGTGCTACAACCACAGTTCCTTTTCATTACTTGCTATTGATTATTTATTAAAAAAAAATAAATTGGAATTCACAGACATTTCTTTCCAGTTCATCCTTTGCTGATACTGCCTTTTGTTTTCCCTTATGATATCCCGAACCACTCTTTTCCAAGTTTTTGTCCTATGGCTCTCCTGCCAGGGTGCTGTGAGTTCAGTCCATTTTCCAGCTGTTTTGGTTGTTACTCCCTCAAATTTTCGGTGGTGACAGCACTCTGCATCACTGTTCATGCCACGTGACTGCTTACTCCGTCAGCTCCATCAGCCAACTGCCTTTTCACACACGAAGTCTTCATTTGCAGGCCAACACCATTACTTACAAGCTATGGCTCTTTTTATGGTATCTATTTCACTTTTTCACGGATATCTGCGAATGTGTGGGAAAATCCATGTTAGACCATGAACGCATCAGCCCATATGTTTTTCCCTCTTGGTCTATTCATGTTTTTGACAATATGTTTAAAGTAGGATAGAGAACATAACCAAAAATTGGATTTGCTTTGTGA